CCTCGCGGGGCCCAGGACCCCAGGCGCACGCCCGCATCCCCCAGGCCTAGCTGCTCACGATCTTGTTCTGGTCCGTGACGAACTCGTCTATATTTTCCAGGTAAAGCTGGTCCGCCATGGTCTGAGCTCCGCAAGTCGCCACAACCGCAGCTCCCGCCGGCGGGAAACGTCTTTCCTCCCAACCAGATCCCGGGTCGTTTCCCACGGCAACCGCGGCGACGCGCTACGGTGGCCGGCCGAGGGTCAAACTAGTCTAGGGGGCGGTGCAGGCGAAGTAGGCGGGGCCCGTGGGAGCGGGCGGAGGAGAGGAGCTCAGAAAACGGGCGTGGTCCGCAGGGTCGGTGTGTGGAGCGGTGATTTCCAGTCTCACCTCGGCCGCTTCGTGACTGAGCCAGGGCAAAACACCTGACCTCTAGGCGCCACAGCCTCTCTACCTACAAATTGGCAAAATAATCCTTGACCTTTCATATCTTTATTAAACAAGTATTTGTCTAGTTACCTATTCTATTCCAGGCACATCTTAGGCACTGGGTTTCAGAGCAGTGAACAATAAAGAATAAACAAGTAATTTTAGTAGAGTGATGCCAGCTGGGATAAAGCGCTGCTTGTTATAATCCCTAAGAATTGAGAAATTAGGGAAGGTTTTTCCAGAGGGGGTGGGAGGGGCAGTGGTTCCTAGAGGCGGGAGCATTTGTTGGGAAGAGAAATGAGATCATTATGATTGAAATGTCGGCAGAAGAGACCAATGAGGAGAGATGAGACTTGGGAGACGCCTGCGAGGCTGTGTGAAGGGGCGCAGGAACTTTGTGCTAAGGAAGAGTCTTCAGGTTGAGGAGGTTCAACTAACATTTCTCTGAACGTCAGCCAAATGTCCCTTAATAATTGACTTCACAATAAGCCACCGCGGCTCCATAGGGCCGCATAGTGGATAATCAGGCAGGCTCCAGAATTAGTCCCTGGAACTGAAATTGTTATTTGTTGTGACCTTACGTAAGCTATTTAACCACTGCATGCCTATTTCCCTGTCTATGCGATGGAAATAATAATAGTACCCATTTCAGAAGCTTGTTGCATTCAAGACACACCAAAAGCCTAAGAGCCAGGCACTGTTTTGGGTACTGGGGTGCTGGGCATACAGCTGTGATCAATAATACAGGAAGCCTGGTCACGTGTAGCTTACATTCTTGTGAAGATCCTTAACTGAGGTATGGTAGTGGCTTAAAATAGGAAAATGGTGGTAAAAACTGAGAGAATTTAGTGATTTGTGTTTTCTTTTTAGAAACCTGCTGATGAATTAGTTGAGTGGGATGTAGAAATGACAGGAATTAAGGAAAATGCCCAGATTTGGAACCTAAATTTTTAGGTAAATGATGATACCTTTGGCTGCTAAAATGAGGAAGACTGAGAGAAAGAGCAGATGAGAAAATAAGTCTATTTGCCCAGAGTTATAAACAAGGTAATATACATAAAACCTTCACATCATGACTGCACACAATAAAAATCGATAACCATTGGCTATACATGGCTATAGCCATGCACACTGCACCAGGTGCTTTGAGGGTGAGATTTCATTTAATCCTCATAGCAACTCTGCAAATGGATTGTGTTTGCCCATATTTCATAGACTAGGTTGCCAAGGCTTAAAGAGGAGATGTGGACTTTTTAGGTCACAGCCTAATGTGATAATTAATGCTGGGACTGAAACTCATTTCTTGTCATTGCTCCACAGGAGTGGGCTATAAGTCAAGTTAACGGACCAGAGTCTCAATACTGTCCCCCCATCAACAGAAGCAGGTAATACAGTATAGCAGGGGTCCTCAAACTTTTTAAACAGGGGGCCAGTTCATTGTCCCTCAGACCGTTGGAGGGCCGGACTATAGTTTTAAAAAAAACTATGAACAAATTCCTATGCACACTGCACATATCTTATTTTGAAGTAAAAAAACCAAAACGGGAACAAATACAATATTTGTATTTGCATGTGGCCCGCGGGCCGTAGTTTGAGGACCCCTGCAGTATAGGTTACCTAGCCCAACTTGGTCCTAAATCGCCACTATTAAAAGATTGATGCCAAGCCTTCTTAAACCAAGAAAATAGAAAATTGGTACATATGTTAGAAAGTATGTGTTTAGACCGGCTGGTGTGGCCCAGTGAGTGGTTCAGCGTCAACCCATGAACCAAGAGGTCACAGTTCCGATTCCTGGTCAGGGCACATGCCTAGGTTGCAGGCTTGATCCCCGGTGGTGCGTGTGCAGGAGGAAGTCGATTGATGATTCTCTTTCATCATTAATGTCTGGGTGCTGGTCTCGTGGTATGTTGAGTTTGTGAAAATGATTTTAATTGTACACTCTGACACCTATAGTTTTCTGTATGTATGTTCACACCAATAAGAAGTTTAAGAAAAGTTTAAGTAGTTAAATATCTTAACTACTATGCCAAGCCTACTTAAACCAAGAAAATAGAAAATTGGTACATGTGTTAGAAAGTATGTGTTTAGACCAGCTGGTGTGGCCCAGTGAGTGGTTCAGCATCAACCCATGAACCAGGAGGTCACAGTTCGATTCCCGGTCAGGGTACATGCCCAGGTTATGGGCTCAATCCCCAGTAGGAGCCATGCAGGAGGCAGCTGATTAATGATTCTCTCTCATCATTGATGTTTCTATCCCTCTCTCCCTCTTCCTTCCTCTCTCTGAAATCAATAAAAACTTAAAAAAAGAAAAGAAATAGAAGGCTGACATCCCAGAAGTAATTGACATGGGAGAGTCTAATCATTCTGACAGGGCATGGGGTGGAAAATATGGATGGAACTCAATATTGGGGAAA